GATCGACATCTCTCAGATAATGGTAAATGAAAATCTACAGCATCTTGACGAATATAGGCATGTTTCTCAAATTCTTGGTGATCACGTTTAGCTATTGATATACTATATTTAGATTTAGCTTGTATAATTTTTACATCATGACTAAGTAATAAATCTCTATACTCACCTAGATATTCAGTGCCTCTAAATATAACTATTTAGCAAAACTATAATCTTAATCTAATCACGAGACTTCTTTTTTTAGCGAAATTTTTTTATTGGTTTCAAATAAGATCACATGCAAATGAAATTTTTTAAACTGATACAGTAAAACCTCTCTATAGTTACCTTCTCTATAGTTATATTTGCTTATACAGTCAGACCTCTCTATAGTCATCTCCTCTATAGTTATATTTGCTTATAATCATATAAAATTTTAAAACCAACTTATATAACACCTATAAAATTTAACCTCTATATAAGCACAAACTCCCTATAAGCACCAAAATCTTAAAACTAAGAGTGTGATTATATAGAGGTTTGACTGTAATCATATAAATTTTTAAAACCAACTTATATAATATCTATAAAATTTAACCTCTATATAAGCACAAACTCACTATAAGCACTAAAATCTTAAAACCAAAAGTGTGATTATATAGAGATTTGATTGTATTACTAGTTATATACAGTTTGATCAACAAATTTTTGGTCGACTAGTGATTAGACCAATTCTAAATATTATGTTATATTTCAGAATCAAGTTTCATAGTCATATGAATATAATTTGAATTTAGAAATATATCAAATTTTTTCACTACAATATTTTATTATAGCTTTTAATAATCAACAACTATCAATTTATCTACAGACAAACCTCTCTAAGTGCATGCCCTTGGGACTGAGAATAGATGTGCATTTGGAGAGATGTGTATTTATAGAAAATATATAAGAAATTTGATTAACCAATCAGAATTAAGCATTATAAATAATACTAAGTAAGCAAGCATGTAATAACATCTTAAATAGAATTTTTGAATATTTATAGATGTATATGTAGGTGCACATATATATTACATCTATGTGTCTATTGCATTAAGAAAAGAAAAAAACTCAAATTCTAATAAAAAGATATCTATTTAGTACAGTACTTATATGTCAATCCTGTCTAATATTATGCTTCTATTTTGAGTTTTTTTTAATTTTTTATTTTTTTTCTTTTGATTTTTTGCTGGTATGATGAATTAATAATCACTGATTGTTAAAGATTATAGCGAAAGAACTATGAAGAAAGAATTGTGAACTCAGCCCCTCAACACTCTGATTAACACAAAATTTATATGATTTATTGTCATTCTATCAGTACAACGGCATCACCACATTCAGAAAACGTGCACTATATTCATTTACCAATAGTAATTGGATAGAAATTAGATCCGAATCAGGATTTATAATTATTGGATGTAAAACATCCAATGATAGTTTTATTTGGCAAGTGATTTTGTACTATTGTAATGAATTAAAATTTTATTTTTTATATTATTGTAAATAATTTCTTTATTTTCTTGGTAA